CCATGGCTAGATGCTCGCACTGAACGAACCCTCGTGCAGCTTGCGTATGTAGCAAAGCTGTTAGCCCGTACAGTCTGCCCGTCAATAGCCTTCGCTTTAGTACATCCCAGGATGAGATGGAATATATCATAATAAAGCCAATGTGGTCTCACCATTTTGAGCAAAGGTGCGTGGGTAACTGATGCTATTTTTGTGGTCGCTTGCACGTAAACAACCAAAGGCTCGAACACAACAGACCCATTCATCTGGTTTGAAAAGAACTTGAGCGTTGGCTTGGCTTGGATGTTGTCTGCCAATTGTGCTTACTCAAACTGCACGATATTCGCCAAATATAGCAGACTGCCTCTTGACTTCTACTTTAGGCGTGCATGACTGCAATTTGGTAATTTCCAATTTTGACGAGTCCCAAATCGTGGGTGTACCACTGCAAACTCCTCTTAAAGGGCAACTCCGCTTTATTTTTGATATTTATAAAACTATGCAGCCCTCTTAGGTATCATATAGGAAGACCCCATGTCAAATGTTACGATCTAATTCCGTCCATACATTTAATAAACTGGCCAGCAACTTTCAAATGAGCCAAGTCGCCGAAATCTGCCAGCTCTAGCGTGCAACGCGAGGCGCAATCGTCAGCGCAGTAAATGCGACGGAGTTGGAGCGGCCAACGTTGAGCCACTACGTCAGATGCATGGCTACGCCATCCTCACGTTTTGTTTGTTTTTACTTCTCAGGGAGAAATTGAGCGATGACGTCATGAGTTTCTCCTCCCGGTGTTGGCTCAATGGCGTCAACGTGATCACCGTAACGCAGATGCGCCAGTTTGCGCTGCCCTGCGCGCTTATCCAACACCTCCTAGAAATAAGCCCGTAGCGCTCTTGTGGTGACGTCGCAAAGGAAGGCCATCGGAGGCGCGCGGCGAAGCGAAGGCAACGCGCGTGGATCGACCGTCGTAACGCGCTTTTCGTCACATACGCGTGTCTTATTGGCTAAAATGAAAGCTGCACATTGCAACGGGTCAAAGAAACACTTTATTACGCGGGCAAAACATTACACCGCTAAATAATCGATGCGAAATGGCACGAGATATGCGTATAAGACGTTTATAGAAAAATGTGATTGTTTTAAGTAGAATATATTGAGTCACGGAATTATTGCTGTAGGAATGCATACTTTCTACAGAAATTTTTTGAAAAAATGGTGAGATACGCAGTGATTGGACACAGCAATATAGATCTATTCAAAATCAGGTGTACGTAGCCAACGCGGTCACGGCTCGACGAGTGTCACGACCATGTAAGCGATGTTATCGCGTGCAGTCACTGAATTAAAATTAATGCAATTTCGATCGAATGACAATATGGGGCCGACAAATGAGCTTGCGACACTCATATAATCACTCAAAAGAGCGAGCCGATAAAATCCCGTATTATTTAATCAAAATTTATTAACTTTTCCGTGAGGCAGGGGTACTAAACTTACTCTTTACAATCAACTAATTTACTTCTCCCTATGGGCTCGAGCTGCCTACGAACAAAATATAACCCATTTTTTATACAATAATACAATTACCTTAATACAGTTGAGATTATAGTATAAATGCGGTAAAGGCAACAAAATAACTATAGTATAAATAAACACGTAAGCACAAACAACGCACTTTCATTAATCGCACAAACTTGTTATTTACCTTCCAGTAAAAACTAGAATATAACCACACATATTTACAAATGTCGACGCAATAGCAAGCGGAAAACGACGAAGAACGAAATTCCATTCTATCACGACATTAGAAAAAAATGAAAGCCCTTTACAAATCCCTGTAACGCCGAATTGGAGCGCAGCTCTTGAGGAGGAGTAGGGAAGGGTACTGAGGGGGGTCACGTCACCTGCGGGTAGTCACGTGACCCCGGGGAGGGGGGGGGGGGGTCACGTGACCTCGGTGGGGGTCACGTGACCTCAGGTGGGTCACGTGACCTCGGGTGTAGGGGGTCACGTGACCTCGGGGGGGGGGATCACGTGACCCCCCCCCCCGCCGGTTACGCCGACGCCGACGCCGCTCAGGCTGGAAACGGGCCCCTAAGAGCTGTGCTCTAAAATCGACTGCAGCACTTTACTTGCGTCTTACATGACCAAGAAAGCCCGTAAATAAGTTCTTCCTCATCTGTCGATCGTATCCATACGTCCCAAACGATCCATCACGAAAACATTTGAACACTAGCTTCTAGAAGTCTTTCCGTCGAAAGAGAGGTCATCGGCCAGTGTCATCCTTGATTAGTTGCCACACACGTCTCTCAAACCCTAGCAGGACTTGTTTCGCGAATCCACGCAAATGCCGTAGTATCAAGCGAACAGAAAGAAAAAAACTACTCGAGTCTGCGGTGACGACAAAAAGACGACGGGTAGGAAGTTAAAAAGAACCACACACACACACACACACGCGAGAGCAGCACCAGCAGTGTGGGACGAGAGGCTTAACATTGTCGACCCCTCTCTTGCTCGTGTGCGCTTACTCCCTGCGGCGATGAATGGATCTTTTTTCGGTTTCTTTTCCTTCTGAACTGTCTCAGCGTACCTTTGCAGACAGTCAGCAGCTCACACGCAACGTAAATTTACCAGAACCATAGCCCGTTCGTGGGAAGAATATGTCGCATTGGAAATTCTGAGCCGGTTCATTCGAAAAGTTGGGGGAGCTGCGGCTCTGCGCGCAGTACCGCGGTTACGGGGATAATCAAAAATATAAATTTGGTACTTTCAACATTAATAGCGCGTTGCATATTACGTTTATATTATATATATATAATAAATTGTAGAAGACAGCGCTTTTAAAACGTGTATTAATGTCGGATAAACGCGCACGAACATTAATGTGCCGACCGCGCCGATACGCGTCGACAGCGCATTTTCTCACGTAGTTGCGCCATGACCTTCATTCCTCCGCCATTGTGACGGGCCCACTCGGAGCGCTACGGCCTGATGTCTAGGAGGTGTTGGCTTATCGGTCTATTTTTCCGCTCCCCCTCTCCTCTTTCAACTTCTCCCCTTCCCCATCTCCCCCAAGCCATCACCGTCCACGCCATGCGAAGCGACCTGTCCGCGTCTCATGTCGTGTACCTCGCCCCCAGAAACGTCACAAGACCACGTGGGTCGACGTGACGTGGCCATGACTGTGACGACACGAGACCTTTGTTGCCTGACGCAACCGAAATTTCGCTTTCAGTATCAGCTGATGTTTAAATTGACTCCGTAAGTGTGACGTCAGGGGTCCAAACCGTGGTCCAAACAAACCGTTGCTAGGGTCGTTGTTATGGACAAATACATGTGGCTAGGTTTCGCTACGAAAACCCGACCGTTCAGAAATCGGGAGTAGGATTTAAACTTTTAAAAATCGCAGATATAGAAAGCTTGAATGTGATATATGTTGCGACAGAAGTGTGCCGGTAATCGCTTGTTTCTGAAATATTTACGACTGCAACTTCCGGTCCTCAAGGTGCCTGCAGCAGACGACGAATGCAAGAAGAATGCCGTCAGCCACACGCCCGCCGGCGAAGCTGGCGCCGGCGTCTGAATCGGGTGAATAAAGACGATATTCTGATATTGAATTTTTTTGTTGTTTTTTTGAGACACTTATAAGAATTCATTGCGGGGTGCGATGCAAAATATGGTTTATCGAAAGTCCAGGCGTCGATCGAGATGATCGTCTGCAAAAACATCGGAATGCACCCGTGAGAAAAGCACTTCAGGCGATCGCTAGAGATCCCAAATTTTGTTTCCGGACTCGCGCTATCGGAGGGTGCATCGTATCTGAATGTAACCATCGCGTGGAAAATTATTCTTGCCGTTTCTTTAGATTTACGCAAAACCCCAAAACGCGAAAGAGCTGGATAAAAAACATAAGGTGACTCTATTACAGATTGTACTCTCATCGCGGGTTCGATGGAGATCTTCACCGAAAGAGCACATCCATTAAATTTAATTTATACAAAAAAAATTGCGAAATTGCGATAGACATGCAATATTTTAATAACCTGAAAACCTCAATAATAATAATAACAAACGCCTTATCTCGACGGCGTACGATTTGTTTCTCATTCTTGCCGGCACTACGCCGGTAATGCACTTCAGGTCGTCGTCGTAACTGATCTCCATGACGTGGTTTGATTTTACGGAATTTTCGCCCCTATGAACAAAGCTGGGTTCTTCACAGAGCAAAAACCCACATTGCGGAGGCCTCTGCGGCCTTGGCGATTCACTTGCTTGTGTTGCTCGTTTACTGACGCAATTGAATGAAGACGCCCACTGCAACAAAGGCCATCAAACCTATCGTGTCGTCTGCTACCAAAGCAAAGCAGAGTGGAGCACTTCAAAAATGGCTTTATCGTTGCAATACGACGCTGAGATGACAAGAACATCTTTATAATTAAATATCAAGAAGCTAGGTTGCTTAAAAAAAATTATTTACTTATAAGCGAAAATCTAGCCTCGTGTGGAGTCTGCATGCATTAGTCCATAGCAACGTCTCTAGTAACGGTTTGTTTGGACCCAGACGCCAAGTTGTGACGTCATCACTTACGGGGAAAGTTAAGAATACACAAACAATATTCCACAATTCGCGAATCCGAAGACGTAAATCTGTTTAGTAATGCTTTGTGAAATGAAATCACATGAGAGCCTAAATTTTTCGGAATTGAGCGGAGTTGCCCTTTAACACGATTTCGGTACCCGCAGGGTGTAAAAATATATACCAAGGGTGTATGCCTTTCTGTACACCCTTGAATGTTCAGAAACATGTAAAAATGGTGGAGGAAGGGTGTGAACTGGAAAAAACACCCTTTTAACACGAACATGGTTGTTAAAATATTAGTGTGTACACAGTACAAACAGTCAGTGCTTTAGCTTTATTAAGCCTGGTTTAGTTTGGAGAGTTTGAATAAGAAGTGTCCTTCCTAATTTTTCTTTGACCTGCCCTTAGGCTTCTAACTCTTCTTCGGTTTCTTCTTTTCTTGCATCAGTGTCATTGGGCACACCTGAATCTGTTGTCAAATGGCATTCTCCGTTTTGACATAATCCCTCATCACCATTGTTGTACTGCAAATGAGAGAGAGAAAAAAAGAGTATTGAAATTTCAAATGTTCCTGAGATGTACACTCTAAAAAAATGGGGTGTATTACTACACCCTTTGTCCCATATATACACCTCGAAATTTCAATTCGACGTACAACTCCCTATAGTCGAACACACCACCCAATATTTTACGAGGGGCTTGATAGCCGAGTGGTACTACTTATTAAAATAGCTGATGTGCGTGTTACTGAATACAAAAAAAAATAAAAAAAATCGGGGTTTTTTTGGTTCTACTGCAAAAACTCGGTGTTTTCTTTGTGTGGTCTTTGATACGTTCCTTAGCTTCTTAAAAATTTATATCCCACCGTTATCAATCCCCTCGCACAACTTGGGGCCGTTTGTTGGACTAGAGGGCGCTCTACAGCGTACTGAAGTTTTGAGGTGTATTATATATGACAAAAGGGTGTAAGGTGATAACCTTTTTTTAGAGTGTAATTTGCCGTAACGGAACAGTTAAAAGTATGATATCATATAATTTATTAAATCTACAGCTGAATATAGCCGTGAAATGTACCTGCTACATTTAACGTAACAAATTTTACTCTAGACTGAGAGCGGAAAATCTCCACGGGATCTGATTTAATGCGACATCACGTGACGTTGTATTTTCCGCGGAAAGTTTATCATAAACTTATATTTGAAATACTTCATACTGAAATTAATTAAAATATTATAAAATATAACTCTTTAACGTTGTGCTGTGGCGATTGAAGAAAAAAGATTGCGTGTTAAAGAACCCAAAAGAAAATCTTGCCTCGTAATAAAAGGATTCTATTCCCCCTTTTGAGATTTTTCAGCTAAACGAAGAAAGAAATACAAAATATAGATTGAGACAAGGAATATACACATTAACTCAAATCTCACAAGCGTGAATAACCAACCAGCTCAGCACTGGGAAATCATGATTGTATTCCAACTACTCTGGCTCACATTCATTGAACTAATTTCTGTTACGTGGCATATGCGCAGCGGTCAAACGAAGCGGTCTACTCATATTCTTCACTTTTTATTCGGAGACATCACCTTCATTAGCCGCAAACAGTTTGCTTTCGAAACTCCTGTGAACGATACACTAAAAAATCATGACCCGCAGAAATAGATTGAGAAGCTACTTTGGCTAGGGAGGAAATCATACTTCCATTTAACAATGTACCGTCATGTGAAGAAATTCTTCTCTATATTTAGGGGGAACATTTACCTTCTGAGAGTACTATAAAAAAGGTCACGTGACGTCACATGATTCTGCAGCGTCACGTGACGTTACTGGACCATGTTAGGTCATATTAATGGATGTCAGTTACACGCTACGTCACAGTATTAAGTGCCAATATATTTCCTGCGTCTTTACCAACTTCAATTTCAGGACAGGGCAAGGTGCAATAAGGAAAAGTTTAGAGCATATACAATTTAATTGTGTTTTGTGATTGTGAAGAGTCACCGCCCAAATCCGAGATCATGGAGCATAGATGTTTAGACTAGGAATTAATCTCATATAAATAATGTAGTACCATACCATCTTGAGTTGTATTCTTCTGAGGGAATCATAACACAAAAACTGATAACCTTCGGCATAAACATGGCAGCATAGGAACTAAAGATATAAAACCGCGTGTACACCTCTTGGTGTTTCATATTGCAGAGAGGCTACTGTGAATTTGTTTGAAAATGAAAGGAATTACACTGCGTATGGGAAAAGCATACAAGTAAAACCCGCATGCACGGGAGCCGTACGTGTGGTTACAAGATTAGATTTGCTACTCACAAAGCATCGTTCTCCGTTCCCGAAGAAAAATTTGTCCCATGATTTGGTCTCAGCGTTCCAGCAGTAATAGTCGCAGCCTTCTCTTTTTTCCTCCTATAAAAATAATAAACCGGCTGAATAAATTGAAAGTAATATTCGCAAGATCTTGTATACACAGAGTGCTTCGCGTGCATGATTTACGAAATGAAATAATAGTTTGCGGACGCATTTAAATTCATAAAGTACTTCAAAAACATTTTGACAGAAAAGCGGCCTACATTAACGCGTTGAATTTGTTTACACTTCAGCACACGAAATGTTTTCATATATGTACTGAAAAAATTGTTACCGAGGCGGGTCTCGTTCCGTTTTGGCAATCGTGGGCCGCAGCGGTTGCGACGAAGGCCAGAGACACTGTAGACAATGAAGCAATAAACTTCAATTCAAGTAAGGCCACCCTCAAAGCTTTTATCTAACACATATTTGTCTTCAGCGTATGTATCGCAACTAATAATGTAACACTAAGCAAGCGAAAAGAATTACGAAGTGTTAGTTGATTCAGGGGCTCCAAGACACCAAAACAATATATGGAAGCGGTTCTTTAGAAATAACCTTGCAGTCTAATATTAAGGCCTCCGTTACTGCAAAGCTGATTCATGTTCTAAGCAACTATGCTCACGGCTATTGTGATTACGTTTATATCTTAAACATAGTTTTAATCACGAATGCGGTTCCAGAAATTTAATTTATGTTTAGACATTCAATTATAATAAAAAAGGTGGCAAGAGCACCTTTTTTGAACACGTTTTTTTTTTTTGTCATGGAGTACTGCACGGAAAAAATGTCTATACTTGTCAAAAACACCATGCATAAGTTCACTACGCAGAGTTTTGTTCATGTATTTTTTACCCAGGAGACTCGACAGATAGTAAACCATTCTAGGAGCAACTATGCAGGACCTTAGGCACAGGCTGCTATATTTGATGTTGTTTCACGAAATATATCTTCAAAATCTTCTGCGAAATTATTTTTTCTTATGTTGATCTGAACGAAAAATGAATATCGCAATTGTTTTGGAAGGTGAGTGGAAATGCGTAATATAGCCTCTCTATCGTTAAAACGTTTTGAATGCATAAGCTGTCCGTGAAAAAAAATTGTTACATTCAGTTTATTCATTACAGATATATGCCTTTTGGGCAAACGTATAATAAAACTAAGGAAGGGAATTCACTCTCAGTATATATTGTAAGCGAGGTTTTTCTTAGAAAGCTTCCACTCGGATATAATTAATGCACGTGGTATAGATTGTATGCTGTCAACAAAATTGGCAAGAGTGAAAAAAAAATATAAAAGAAAAACATGCTGTGTCTAAATAATACTGCCGTCGTGGTTTGGTCTTAAAACTCCTATACTTTTATTTACCACAATCGCGTGCAGTGCTGAGGCTATGTTTTGAGCTTGATATATCAATTTGACGTAAACTTGCGAGAGCTTTTGTCTAAAATGCACGATATAAGACTTTTGATATTCTTATCAATAAAATAAATTTATGTCTAATCTTTATTAAAAACAATCAATTTACGCATGCATAGGTTAAAAATCTGCGCCTGGAGTCCTCCATTCTAGCTCAGAGATTGATATCGGCTGAAAGTGTCGGGTAAATCAGGTAATGAGCACTCTTCATTTAATTACAGACCGATTTCATTAATCAGTTTTTCTTGCAAAATATTTGAGCATACTATTTATTATACCTTCGTTAATTTTCGTGATTGCAATTCATCATTTACATCATGTCAGCAAGGTTTCCGTAAAAGTTACTCGTACGAACAAAAATTTGCACAGTAAACTTTTTCTGCTATGGACAATGGCAATACATCGACTGCGTATTTTCTTAACGTTCATTCTTTTTTATTAACAGCTATCTGCATAAAGCATAGTAAACATCGACTGCAACATAATCGGGAGCATTCAGCATTTCCTATATAATACAACCCAATTCGTAACAGCTAACGACTTCGAATCCGCAACTTCTCTGGTTGAGCCTGATCTCCCGCAAGGCTCTGTTGTTGGCCCCCTGTTATTTCTCATTGACATGGATGATCTACCTGAATCTATCACTTCATTCATAAAGATGCTTGCCACCCATCGTGTCATTTTTCGTATTATGTCCTCTAGTGCTGATACCTTCTTTCTTCAATCTCCTCTAAACAAAACTTTCACTTGGTGTAGATCATGAAAAATGCCGCTTCTTAATAAGTGTAAATCAATGCGAATTTCACACCGCCTACTCAGTGCTATCGGTTGAAGAATATTGCAGATATTTTACTAGAGGAGGTTCCATCATATAAATACCTAGCAATTAATTTAACTGTACACCTCGTGCAAAACACACGTAAATTTTATAATTAAAAGCGCCAATCAGATGCCTTGATATTTACGGCGTAACTTCGTTATGGGGTTTTCATCTTTAAATCCTCAACTCTTTAAAAGTCTCGTTCATTTTAATCTTAAATACAGATCATCAATATGTGATCCAGGCAGCTAATTTCTTACTAATGAATTATAAGCGGTAGAACATCGCAGTCAAAGTCTAATTTCTGTAACTGCTCATGTTTATCAACTGTGCCATTAATGAAAACCTACTCAAATCTCCGTCACAATGTCCTAAGTAGAGGTGTGACGCGATTAGCTCTATTTCACAAAGTTGACCATTATATTCAGTCAATAAAAGCCAGCTTTTTTTAAGCCGTCAAGTAGAGGGCTGAGCTAGTTGCCTAAATGATTAAAAAAAACTCACCCAACACCAGCGTGATCTCAGTCAACCCCATAGCTTGTGTAGTGCTCTCAACGAGTATGTGATTGCTTATGCCCCAAAAGGGGACCATTATATACTCGCGAAAATTCCGGTTGGTTTTTAATTTGTTATGCACTTTTCGTCCGAACCTCAGACCGTTTTAGCATTTGCAGTGTCCTCTCGTGCTGGATTACGTAGTAATTCCTTTGTTCTAGACATTTTGAGCTTGATATATGAGTGTAAAGAAGCTGAAAGGACATTTGCACGATGACTCATCTACATGTTATATACACTGTCACTACAGGTGTCAACGCTTTTTGGAAGAAATGCTCCGGACTTTTACTTTTCGTTTCTATTTTAAGCTAACTGTAGCTAGTAAAATGTGATCAGCGGTTGTATAATCATAGTGTGTCCTCACTGAAGAAGAATATTCGAAGGTCGTTGATTCAAGATATATGCGTAGTATGATTAAAGGTTTCCGTGGTCATGATAAAATTGTAATATGTCCCGCTGCACAGTGTCTTATTATACAAACATATTTTAGTTGTTTCAGGATCGAGACCATGGTGCTTTCCTAAACTAAATATTTATATGCATGTTCATATATTAAATGTTGGTTTTGAAAATAGGGTTCATTCTCGCCAGCTCACGTGACTGGTTTCCTTATATGCAAAGAGTTTCCTTAGCGCCAGTTGTGGATTCAATGCTTCTGTTAGTGCAGTGGTTCTCAAATGGGGTTCCGTGGACCCTTTGGGATCGGCTAAGGCATTGTAGGGGTCCGCGAGGCCTTGCCTCATCAGTCAAGCCCGGTAGTAAAAGTTGCCTTTTCTCAGATTGAGAAGAAACATTCCAATTTTCGGGCAAGATCTCTCGTGTGAGTGTCAATGAGAGAAGTGTACTTCACACTAGCCCTTAGTTATATCCAAATATTAAATCATTATCATAATTATCCTATACCTCTTCCTTCCTCCCGTCACGAACCGGGTCCTCCATCATGTGCGCCGATCCAGAAGGGGTCCGCAAAACAGCATTGGTTGAGAACCACTGCGTTAGTATATTCATATTTTGATCCGATGACGTTAGGTCTAAAGTGTTGGTCTGTTTTCCCAACCGATGAAGCTATTTAAGGCGGCATGAGTATTTGGTCATTGTTTATTTTAGATTCGAAGTGCGTGAAGAACAGCTGTCAACAGTCGACAGCCCCCGCCTAAGAGCTATTAAATAAATTGATCAGGCACTTAATCTTTCTTGAATAATTAAGATAATATTACTTATAAAGACCACTTACTTCTGGAGCAACTGTGAATATTGTATCAAATTAGTATTGATAATCAGCAATAAATATACATAATTAAGTGACTTACACCTATGATTTTGAGTTTATGTACTTCGGAGTGGCTTAGGTGTATCATCTGAAGAAAACAGTACTCGACTGAAGTAAAAATTGAAAGGTGATGAATATCTTATCAGATGTTCATAAAAGCGCGTTAGGCGTAGCATGCGATTGCGACTGTGCTGTTTTTCGACTTTCGATACTCTTCACTATTCGGCAAGGTTCTGTAGATAAAATTATCTGTTCCAGCTCAACAGACATGCTCGTATTTTTGTAAAATAGCAAAGTCCATATTCTAAATAAAAAAAAAATGCTTCAATCTAGAAAATGCAATTGTTGGAAAATAAAACGCGTCCCTTCTAGAAATTAAAAACCTAACAATTTTTAAAAAATAAAACGGTGTGTTTGCGCTTGCTTTGCGATACTAAATTATTAACTTTCGTACATACTATATGTGTGTTTCTTTGGCCAAGGATAAATTGATTACCCTCAAGCATTCTAGTGCTTAATGTAATGCTGTATTTCAAATACTCTTCGTAAATTATTCGAAACATTTTTATGAAGGCCAAGCGGCGAGTCATTCATGGTAAGGAGATATATTATATTTGAAGAAACCACCTCAACTCACTTTATGGTCATATTGGACTGTATATAAAGGCCGCAGTCATTCTGGATTGCGAGCAATGAACAGGAAGGCAGTGCGCGGGGCTAATTGTTTTATATTGCCACGCTCGTCAGCGAGCGACCGCGCGCGTGGCCGTGTGGTTACCTTTTTGACTGTTGTGCAGAAAGTCTGGGTTCGATTCCAGTCAGTGGAATACTCTTTTATTTGTTCTTTCATTGCGTTCTCGTGAGTTCGAGAACATTCTCGTCAGATCGAGTTCTGAATGTTCCAGTCGCCGAACAATCTAGGCCGATTGTTCCAGAACCCAACGCGCGTAAATAAGGGACTCCGCGTGCTGATCTGCAGTCAGTTTTTGCCCAGCGTTCGACTCTGCTGCTACGCCGACTTCGACGCCCGCGACGCTCCGTTATTATCTTTTCTACCCTTTTATTTTTGGCACAAGTTCGCCACATTAAACGTTTATTTCTTTCTGTTTATCTATTGTTTATTGGTCACCACCCGTGACAATATTTGATAAGCTTTCACGCTACTTTTGCACCAAAGTTGAAAGCATATTAAATTGAGGTCGATTTCGTGCAAAATAGAATAGCGCAGAATATCATGATTTACTTAGCGTTCAGAGGGCTCTAGAAACATATATTAGTGCTTTTATTGCTGACTGAAAATATGCAAGAATTTGTGGAAATTTTTGGTGCTCTTCTTCGCTGTACAGTTCTTTTTTTTATCTCTATTCGTATCTGTTTCAATCAGTCGACAAACTATCACTTGAACGAGGCGATTGCTTGAGTAATTTTCTTGATGAAATTATCCCCATTTTATTATAATAAGCTGTGCGGGCCGAACCCGAGAACTACAAGTATTCACATGACACCCTCAAATGTGGAGCGCACATAAGCTTATAAATTTCGTCACTGAAATCGATTCAACAATAGAGCGGATGAACGTCGCGAATGTTCAGGTCCGCATCGGTGACTGTCTTCAAATTATTGCTTCATCACCTCCAGCAAGCTTAAGTGTCGAATTGTTATTTTTATATGATATTTCTTTTTGTGTTCGTTACACCTTGAAGACATTCATTAACTCAATCACCTATTCTTGATTTTTCTGCTTATGAACATCACTTTTCCTTCTAGATTTTGGAGGCAAATTCTATTGATGCATTTGTCAGATGTAGGGAAGCTACGTGACGTTAGTTTCTCCGCTAATTATGGCGGAAATCTGAATTTGTGCATAGGTCTCATGACGTAAATTTTCCGGCTAAATTTAGGGGGCAAACGGGATAGATGTATGTGCTACGTGTGGTAATGATTACGCTACGTTAATTTTCTCGCTAAATTTAGCGGAGACGCTGAGGGTGCTTAGGTCATGTGACGGTGATGCTCCCCCTAAATTCGCCGGGGAATCTAAATTGGTGTATGCTGGCGCGCCCCAAGTAGGCAGGGGGGCCGTGGCCTAAAGGCTATCGCGCTTGGCTCTCACGCGAAGGGCCAGGGTTCGATTTCTGGCCGCGGCTATACATTTTTTTTTTTGACACTGTAATGTGATGTTCTGGTGAATTCCAGAACCGCTTTGGGCTGATTCGAGGCTAGAATGTTCTACGCGCCGAACCTTCTACGCCGAATGCTCCAGAAGCCCACGCGTGTACAAAAGCGGCTCCGCCTGGCAAGCCGGAGTCAGTTTCGCCCCAGCCTTCGACTCTGCTCTTTCGCCAACCTCGACGATCTGCTGTTATCTTTTGTTTCCTTTTAATTTTTGGGCACAAGTTCACCTCAATTAAACGTTTCAGTTACTCCAGTTATTCTTTGTTTCCCCGCCTGTTTATTCGTGACATTTTGGTGGAGGTGAGGGGTAATCGCATGCCCCTGCAGCGTACCCCTCCGAGGACCCGGAGTGCAAGTCCGACAGCAAGCCCCCTACGACCCGACGAAGACACTACCAAGACCCGATTGAGTCGCCGCATTCAAGACCTACACCCGGAATTTGAACTCTTGCCACCCTGGACCGAGCAGTCAAAGAGGACGACGATGAACAACAAGTCGCCGCAGACCTCGAACGCTCCATCCGTCGTCTTCATGCCTGTCGCCCCACGCGATCCGACGCCATTCCATGGTGAGGCCAATGAGGATGTGGAGGTTTGGCTACAGCATTACGAACGAGTGGCCCGCCATAACCAATGGACACCAGAGCAGTGCCTCCAGAATGTCTACTTCGCTCTGGAAGGCACGGCGCGCACCTGGTTCGAGAACTACGAAGCGTCGATTTCGTCGTGGGAAGAGTTCCAGGCCGAGCTGCGACGCACCTTTGCCAACCAGCAGCGACGACAGCGTGCCGAAGACACCAAGGGCCAAACGAGAGTATCCAAGCTTCGTCGAAGACGTTCTCCGCCTCATGAACCGCGCCAACCCAAACGCTCCCGAAGAGAAAAAGTTGCGGGTCCTAATGCAGGGTGTGAAAGAAAAAAAATTTAGGGGGTCTCATGCGGAACCCGCCTACTATTGTCCATGGTTTCATCACTGAGGCCACCAACATCGAACGTGCCCTTCACGCAAGGGCCTCACACTACCAGAGACTTCCCGGCTTCCCTGCCCTCTCGCCGTCCAGCTGCAGCATCCCCGACATCCGCGACATCATCCGGGACGTGGTCCGGGAGGAAATCAAGAAGTTCCTGCCTGCTGCACACCAGCCTGCTTCGCTGTCAATAATTCCGAAGTTGTCCGCGAGGAAGTTCAGCGGGCATTCCAACCTGAGGCTCCTGCCAGCGCAGCAGTACCCGAGGAGCCTTCTCTGACCAACGCCGTGGTAGCTCGGAGACCGGCTCCAGCTGCCCGTGAGTATTCGACGCCATCTCGACGTGACCTAGCAGAGCCGCAGACTTTCCGACGTCGGGAAGGGCAACCGCAGCTCGTGCGCACTGAACAACCGGCGCCTAGAAAGAATGTCTGGCGCACGGCCGATCGACGACCACTGTGTTATCACTGCGGCGAGGCCGATCACGTCTACCGGAGGTGCCCGTACCGACAAATGGGCCTGCGAGGCTTCGCGCCGAGCGACTCGCGACCTCGCCTAGGGGAGCGACCAAAAGACATCGAGGAGTACCTCCGACGACCCCTTTCCCCGGTGCCGACTCCACTACAACCTAAATTTTGTTATCAACGGCTACGACGCATCGGCACTCGTGGACACCGGAGCAAACTACTCAGTCATGAGTGGGAGGCTCTCTCGCCGCCTGCGAAAAGTTACGACGCCCTGGGGAGGACCACAAATTTGAACCGCCGGAAGACACCTTATCGCGCCTGTCGGAAGTTGCACTGCTCGCGTCGAAATTCACGGCGAAGCGTGCCCTGTGAAATTCGTCGTTCTACAAGGCTGTTTCAGAGATGTCATTCTTGCCATGGACTTTCTGTGCGAATACGGCGCCGTCATCGACCTGGGTGAGAACAGATTGACGCTGCGGAAGCCTGTTCCACCTTCAGAGAAACTCCAAACAGCATCGTCAGCTGTGAGCTGAGATACTCTATTGAAATATAGTACTTCTCGTTCCTCTATGTGCGCCGCCGTTTCGCCTTTATATAGCTATTTAAAATAATTTACCAAGAGTATTAGTTATGCAGCATCATATTAAACACTGGCATGCTTGAGTGTAGCCAATTCCTCCTCGCCCAAAGATGCACCCATAGAGTATGCAAGCAAGTGATTACAGAGTACCGCAGAGCAAGCGTAAGCACGCCGTTTTTTTTTTTTTTTTCTTTTTTTTTAATGCCGCTAGGTCTTTGGTTTCTAGCAGATACACATGTTTTAATTTCTTGCAATTGCGTTTTTCAGATTGAAGCTCTTTTTTTTTTAATTCAGAATATGCACTTTGTTTTTTTACAAAAAATACGAGACTACCGTTGTGAGCAGGAAGGGACCATTAGGTCTGCACTACATTGCCGGCTAAAAAAGAGTATCGCCTGCAGAAAACAGCACAGTCGCAACCGCATGCTAGCCCTAGAGCGCTTTTGTAGGCATCTGACAAGGTATTTTTTATATTTCAATTTTCACTCTTGTCGAGTACTGTTTCCTTCAGCTAATACACCTAAGCACTCCGAAGTACAAACACTCCGAAGTAAACACAAAATCATAAGTGTAAGCCTGCTAAGTATATATGTTTCTTGCTGACTATCAATAGTAATGTTTACAATATTCACAGTTGCTCCACAAGCAAGTGCTCTTTATGAATAGTATATTATCTGAATTATTCAAGAAAAATTATGTGTTTGATGAATTTATTAAATAACTCTTAAGCGGGGTCCGTCGACAGTTGGCAGCTGTTCTTTTCGCAGTTCGAATGTCAAATGAACCATCACCAAATACTCATGCCGCCTTAAATATCTTTATCGGTTGGGAAGCCAGACCAACACTTCAGACCTAACGTCTTCGGATCAAAGTAAGAATAGACTAACGGAAATATTGAATGAACAACTGGCACTGAGAAAACTCTTTTTATACAAGGAATCCAATCACGTGAGCTGACAAGAATGAACTCCGTTTTCAGAACCAACATTTATTATATTAAAATGCACATAGATATTTAGTTTAGGAAAGCGCCACGGTGTCGGCCCTCAAACAACTAAAATATATTTGTGTAAATCAGACAATGTGCAGCAGGACATATTACAATTTTATCATGACACAAACACCCTTAAGTATACTATGCATATGTTGGGAATCGATGACCTTGCAGTATTCTTCTTCATTGAAGACAAACTATGATAATACAACCGCCTATCAAATTTTATTATCTACAACGGCGAGCGTTTTTCATTGTTCCCTGGTGAGGTCAAAATAGAAACGAAACTTAAAAGTCCGGAGATTTCTTCCAAGCAGCGTTGACACCTGTACTCACAGTGTATTTAACAAGTAGATGAGTCATCGTGCAAATGTCTTTTCAGCTTCTTTACACAGATATATCAAGCTCAGAAGTTTAGAACAAAGGAATTGCTACGTAGTCCAGCACAGAAGAACAGTGCAAATGCTAAAACGGTTTGAGGTCGAGATAAAAAATACAGAACAAATTAATAACCAACTCTCGCGACTATATAATGGTCCCCTTTCAGGGCGGAAGCACTCACGCACTCCTTGAGAGCATTACACAAACTATGGGGTTGACTGAGACCACGCTGGTGTTGGGTGAGTTTTTAATTTATTTAGAGAATCTAAACATTGTGTAGGTGTAATACCGCGTTACAACGTTCCTACGTGCTCCATTGCCTGCAGTGTCTCTGGCCTTCTTCGCAAGCGCTGTGGCCCACAATTGCCAAAACGGAACAAGACCCGCCTCGGTAACAATTCTTTCATTACACATTTGAAAATAGTTCGCGTGCTGAAGTATAAACAAAATTAACGCATCTATGTAGGCCGCTTTTCTGTCGATATGTTTTTGAAGTACTCGATAACATTAAATGCGTCCGTAAAGTATTATTTAATGACGTAAACCTCGCACACGAAGCACCCTGTGTAAACAGGATCTTGCGATTATTACTTTCAATTTATTCATCCGGTTTAATATTTTCATAGGAGGAAAAAAGAGAAGGCTGCGACTATTACTGCTGGAACGCTGAGACCAATTCATGGGACAAATTTTTCTTCGGGAACGGAGAACGATGCTTTGTGAGTAGCAAATCTAATCTTGTTACCACACGTACGGGGTCCCGCGCATGCGGGTCATATGTGTTACATGTATGCTTTTCCCATACAGAGTGTAATTACTATTGTTTTCAAACATATTTACCGTAGCGTCTCTAGAATATGAAACTCCAAGAGGTGTACATACGGTTTTATATCTTTAGTTCCTATACTGCCATGTTTATGACAAAGGTTATCACTTTTCGGTGTTATGATTCCCTCACAAGAATACAGCTCAAGATGGTATAGTACTATATTATTTATATAAAATTAATTCCTTGTCTAAACATCTAAGTTCCATGATCTCGGATATGGGCGGGGACCATGGGCGTACCAACCGGGGGCGCAAGGGGGGCGCTTGCCCCCCCCCCCAGTTCACAGAGTGGGGGGGGGGGGGGGGGGCAAAGCATGTGTTTCCCCCCCCCCCCCCCCCTACCTGAAAAAGCCTCCACCGGGCACGGCAAACACTAGCCAGTGGTGCCACAGGTACACGAAGGGACCGCGCCGGCCATGTGCCAAAAACAAGTTGGTACGCCCCTGGCGGTGACTCTTCAGAATCACAAAACACAATTAAATGCTATATGCCCTAAACTTTGCCTTCTTCCCCTGAGCCGAGACAAAATGACTAGGGTGACCACACGTCCCGTTTCTGCCGGGACAGTCCCGTTTTTAAGGTCCACTTCTGCCGTCCCGTCTTTTTATGCCAATATAGAATCATGTCCCGTTTTCGCAGGAGTAAATATTTTCGAAATTGGCACCAAGCAGCAAACCGAAACTGTGCCCATTCGTTACAAGTATATTTTACAAAAATAAGCGTAGGTACTTTAAACTTTTTACCCAGAGAGTAAAATTTAGAACTGTTCTTGCCCACAAACACCTTCACTCTCGCGAAGACGCGTGTGTAGAAATATATATATATATATATATATATATATATATATATATATATATATATATATATATATATATATATATATATATATATATATATATATATATATATATATATATATATATATATTTGTATATATATATATATATATATATATATATTAGTTACTGGATATAGCACGGATGTAGAATCATGTAGGTATAGCATTCATCCAGAATGCCATTAAATTTTTTTATCCCAATCTCAAACTTTAATACCCTCCCTTCCCTCCCCTCCCCCCCCCCCCCCCCCCCCCTTTTCCGCTAGGATGTCCCGTTTTCTAGCTTGAGGAATATGGTCACCCTAAAAATGACTGTACATTGCCGTCCTGAAATTGAAGTTGGTAAAGAAGCAGAAATTATATGGCCACGTAATGTTGTAACGTAGCGTAAAACTGGCATCTATTAATATGATTTTACGTGGTCCAATAACGTCGTGTGACGCTGCGAAATCCCGTGACGTCACGTGACCTTGTTTTGCTGTACTCTCAGAAGGCGAAGGTTTCCCCCTAAATATAGCGTGAAAATGTTTCACATGACGGCACATTGTTAAATGAAAGTGTGATTTTCTGCTAAACCTAGGCAAAGGCGCTTCTCATTAAATTTTTGCGGATCGTGATCGTTTACTATACCGTTCGCAGGACTTTCGAACCCAAACTGTTTGCGGCTAGAGAAGGTGATATCTCCCAATAAAAAACGAAGAAATTGAGTTGACCGCTTCGTTTGACCGCAGTGCATATGACACACAACATAAATTAGTTCTATAAATGTGAGCAAGAGTAGTTGGAATACAATCATGATTTCCCAGAGCTGAACTGGTTGGTTGTTCATGCTTGTGTGATTTGAGTGAATGTGCATGTTCCTTGTATCTTCCTATCTTGTGTATTTCTTCCTTCGCTCAGTTGGAAAATATCACAAGCTGGAATAGAATCCTTTTATTATCAGGCAACATTCCCTTTTGGGTTCTTTATCACGCCATTTTTTTTTCAATCGCCACAGAACAAACGTTTGAAAATAATATTGTATCATATTTTGTTCATCTAAGAATGGAGTATTTCAGATAAACATTTATAATAAACGTAGGAGGGAAAATACGACGTCACATGACGTCGCGTCACTTCAGGTCGCGTGGAGCGTTTCCCCACTAAGTCTAGAGTAGTATTTGTAACGTTAAATGTTTCCCGTACATATCAAGACTACTTTTAGCAGCAGATTTAAGAGATTATGTGATATCATTCTTTGAACTGTTTCGTTACCGCAAATTATCTCTCAAGCGCATTTGCAATTTCAATCTTTTTTTTTTCCTTATTTGCAGTACAACGATGGTGGTGAGGGACTTTGTCAAAATGGAGAATGCCATTTGACAACCGATTCAAGTGTGCCCAATGACACTGATGTCTAAACTCCTGCTCCCACTGAAAAGCCGAAGCAAAATATGGAGAAACCGAAGAGGAGTAAGAAGCCTAAGGGCAACTCAACGAAAGATTAGGAAGGATACTTCTCATTAAACGTCTTGAAACTAAACCAGGCTAAATAAAGCTAAGGCACTGACTCTTTGCACTGTGTACACTGGTTGAGTGAGATAATCCTTTGAAAGATTTAAAGTCTTCCTTTCCTGGATTTTGCGTTGCATTTGTTCTGTTATGTATAGTTATGAATAAGACTTATATACCTCAGGTTACACCTTGGTATTGTAGTTCGTGTAAAGTTGATACTAAACCAAGCGACTATATAGCAGAACTGACTGATTCGGTATAGTCGTTAATATGTGACCGTATGAACATGGATGCTCAACAGTTTGTTACCGAAAGGTGAAGCCCTAAAATTTTGTCGGAGTAAGTTTCCAATCCTTTATAATTCTGACATTTTTAACCCTGGAGTGTGGGCAAACAAGACAGGACAGCACGAATTTCCTATTCATGTTGTCCTGTCTCTATGCTTCCCCGTACTCCAGAATTAGAAACGTTATTCATCTATTTATTTATTTTACTACCCACAACACCTAAAAAGGCATTACAGTAGTTGGGGGGGGGGGCACCAAAATATATACATGGTCAATACATTATAACAAATATGAAACGTCGTTATGCACGAAAAATCAAACACAACAAATTCAGTCCTAGAGTCATATATGATTATGAGATTTAAAGACACAACCGGACTTCGTAAAAAAACAGCTCTGACATTGGAATTTCTACACCCTCATTAGGTAATTTATTTCACGACATTAAGTGACCGCGGAAAAAAAGAACATTTAAAAACATCAGTTTTCCATTTATATAAATGAATTTGTTTTTTAATTATCTTTTCTGAAAGACATGTAAACAGGCTGTAGTAGATATTTTGATTTAGAGATACAAGCATTTTCGTAAAAAATGTTAATTTAAAGTTTCGAACGGAGGCATCAACACTTCTGACTCTGAGGCCTCCAACCCGGATACGACTTAAGTTTAGTAACTCTTACTCTGAAATCATAATTTCCCGTGACAAACCTGGCAGCGCGATTCAGATTTTTTTTTTTTCAATCTAATGTTTCAAATTTAGCGTATATGGGTCCCAGATTATACACGCATAATAAAAAATGGATCGTACATGTGAAAAATAGAAGGCTTCTCTTGAGCGATAATGAAGACAACCTAACATTACGTTTAATGAAACCTATTGACCGATTAGCCTTTTCAGTGATGTAGTCAACATGTTTGTTCCAAGTTAGAGCTGATGAAAAAATAACGCCTAGATATTTAGCCTCAGTTAAAAGCTTAACCGCCGACCCACCAATACAGTATGATGAGGCACAAAAAAAATAGTTTTCCTAGAAAACCTGATGTGAATACATTTCGATAGATTTAAAAACATGTTCATTTAAAACACCAAGCCTCAATCTTATCTAAGTCTCTTTAGAGAGCAAACATGTCTGTGTTGCAAGCCAGCGTCTCTCTATGAAACACAGTCATTGACATATATTCTTAAGATAGAGGAAACGTTTTCAAATATATATCGTTGATAATAAAAAACAAACAAGAGCGGTCATAGCACTGATTTCCGGGGGACACCAGAAGTAGCATTTACAAACTGGGACTGGAATCCAATAATTATTATGAACTGTTTCCTGGAATTCAAGTAATAACATACCCAACAAATAGCGTTATGATATATACTAAGCCTCTGAAGTTTAAACATTTTAAAGCTTTTTTTTTTAAATCCCCAAAAAATGCAATTGACCTGCTAATTTTTTATTGAATGATAGTGCTAAATCATGATAGAATTCCGTTAACTGCCTGGTGGAAGATGACCTGGAGGGGAAACCATGCTGAGTTGAAGTGAAAAAAAAATGAGTGCTAGGTGATTGATGAGATTGCTGTAAATTATGTGCTTCATTGTTTCGCAGGATTCGCTCATAAAAGAGATACGCCTATAGCTCAAAATTAGATTCTTGGGACCAGACTTGTGGATCGGGACAACATTTCCAGAATTCCAGTCAAGTGGTAAAGAACCAGAGTCAAAGGATACCTTAAATATAATGACCACGTAACAAGTTATAATATCAGCATATGGCTTTAAAATAGTCTGGAATATCATCGGAACCAGTCTCTGAACCGTGTTTTATTCTGGTTAGCAATTGAAAAATAGCTTCACATGAAATTGAATTTCGGTCATGTGTACCATAAGATTACAGGCAATATCTGAGTAAGTGTAGGGACACGTGACATGCGTAAATATGAACCTAAAGTAATCATTGAAGGCTATAGCCTTTAGGTTGCCTTCAGAAAGAAGGCTGCCATCGACGAGCAAAGACGAAACACCTACAGTATCCATGCGATTAGGCCTAATGATATTCCAGAACTCCTTAGGATTTTGGTGAGCTTGGCATTCAGCGTCGCGAAATTATTCGCTCGAGACGAAGGTATTGCACGTTTAAGAGATCCTACGTCCACTTGTTTATCATATGATGCGGAGTCATTACGTATATGCTGTATTGTTTCAGTGCACGTTTACTTTTATTTGTAAGCTTGCGCAGCTCAAAATTTCACCATGGCTTGTCACGACGTCGCTTAGACGAAAGAACTCTGGATAAAACAGAAATTTCAAGAGTTATTAATCTTTAAGATGAAGGTTTTTATGAATGTCCGTTTTATATTCAAAATGCTGGGTGTTACAGGACAGAGACCGCCGGAAACCGTGCTGGGTTACAAAATGTAGACCATTCTCGACCATGCATGTTGTTCATAAATTTTGAGCAAACGATATGATCCATGAACTAATTTGCAACAAATGTGAGGGAAATGAACCTATCGGTAATTCGTGGGGCTCTCTTTGTCAGCGCTCTGATATATCGGGCAGGGACTCCAGAAGTATATCTGATGTGTGGGAGCGGCGTCTTGGGTGCTCATGCGGCATTGTGTAGTTCACCTCTTTCTTTTTCTCTCTTTCTTTATTTATATATATATATATATATATATATATATATATATATATAAGAAATAAATAAATAAAAAGAGCTAGGTCTGGAAACGGGTGCTCTGAATGCTCGTGCGTTTCTACTAAGGGCTTTCACGAACTGCCAATTCATTAAACCTCATTCTAAAACTCATACAACATTAAGTCATCATATACGACCCTCATGATATATATATATATACATATAAACATATAAGGTACTTCACGTCAGGTGTGCAAATTGTATATTGCAAAAACTACGCATCGCACCAAAAAATAGCTTTTGTCGTTTCGGTCCTATAGGCCAGGTGTCTATTTAGGAACAGTATTGAAGTTTGAGAAAATCAAGTTGTGAAATTTTTCGGGTAAATACATTTTTAAATATTCAGTTTAAAGGCATGGTCTTATTTGGAAAACTGTTGATCATCATCCAAAAACACAAAATAAAAAAATGGGAGTGCGATAGTAGGCACGCGCTGCATTTTACAGCTCTCTGAATAGCCACTCAACTTCGACGGGTTTTTAAGTTTTGGATTTGAATCGGAACGCGTCTCGGTGCCGACGGCACCACGCCCCGTGGAGAAGTAGTGCAACCTGCCTCTGCTCCGTTGCGTGAGGACAGCGAAGCAGATGATGGATGCACTATATCTCCCCGGGGCGCGGTACCGTCGATGCCGAGAAGCGCTTTGATTGCAAACCGAAACTTAAAAACCCGTTGAAGTTGTGCTGTTTATCAGAAAGCTGTAAACTGCGAAGCGTGACTTCTTTTGCACTCCGATTATTTCATTTAGTGTTTATCGATGGTGCTCAGCAAGTTTGCAAATAAAACCATCCCCTTAACCTCAATATTTTAAAATAATTTATTACGCGACAATAATTAACAATTTAATTATCCCGAACTTTAATAGTTTTTCTAAGTAGGCCCCTTGCCTACTTAGAAACCCTGTACATACATAGATGCCGGGTGACATTTTTTATTCAAAACAGATTTTTTAAAAGAAGGCGTATTTACTGCTATACGTTAATGCCATGTTCACTTTATGTTTCTCGAGCTCGGTGGACACTCGAGGGGCAAACAACCGTCACTGTCTGGTGAGTAATTAACCAAAAGTCGTTAATTACCTTTTAATTAGTGAAATTAGATATATGTTTACATTTATAAACTTACTGAGCGTCATCGAAAACCACTGAATCAACTTTTTTACAACGACTTGAAGCTCGTGGGAAACTCGGGGGCGCGCCAAAATTACCACTCGTGAAGCAGCCCTGAAATAGTAGACGACTTTTGGCGCGTCTTTTTCAGTTCAAGACCCAATCGTCGCCCCGTCTTGGTCTCTCACTTCGCTAATTCCATAAATTAACCAGTCTACTCAAAAGCAAACAAACATGACATACTCGAGTCCAGGACCTATACCAACAGAGATAAGCTGAACTCGGCGTCGCGTTTAGCGGATAAGTCAAATTTTACTACGTCATGGCTGCATTGAGAGCTTTGCTGACTATTTAAAATTCTGAGTAAGTTCCGTTTCGCGCGTCATTTATAGCACCTTGTCCTGTGCTAAATTATATAAAACCAGCATTCACGCGGAGCTGGAAGCGTCCTCTAAGGGAAATGTACCTCAATACAACCTGCCCCATGCTGAAAAGATGTTTGATGTTTTCACTTAGCTTATGCCTACAGTTGGAGGAATTGATTGTCTTGAATAGTATGGTGGTCTTATCTAAGAGCAGCTTTCCGGAGGAAGGTTATATTTGTAATAAAATCAGCACGTAACCATTATACTATACTAGGTTCCTAAAAGTGTGGAAACAGCTCATATAACCCATTAAAAGAACAATGTCTTTGTACATTCACACAGAGAGCTCACGTTATCACCTGTGGGATTAGTACTTTGTTTTTTATGCATTCTGAAAGGAGAAGCTTTTATAGATTTGGAAATATTTTCCGATATTTTAGCACCCAAAATTTCCTATACTGTCACAGGTTCCCATTGGGAGATCTGAAACTTCTGAAGGCGTGGATGAAGAAAATGCCATCCGAAGTCTGAAAACACAGCAGATGCTGCAAGTTTCGCTCAGCGCATTTTGCGAATTCCTGCTTCTACCAGCTGGGCAGCAGGAGGTAGCT